CATCCTATCAGGACCCCAGACCTCAGCACCATAACAGAGAACCGAACGGACCTGGGTGTCGAACGCTTGAAGCCGAACGGCAGGAGCCCACACCCTGTTCTCATCCAACCGATTACTAAGACCGAACATAGCCCGTCGCCCTGCTTCCAAAAGTTCGTTGACACAACTCGCAAACGGGGACGCAGGGCCCCAATAGAGACCCAAGTACCTAACGCGACCACACCAGCTAATAGGACTAGGAACAAGTAAACTACCAACCATGGGTGGGTGCCAAAGCGACCCATCAGTACGGAGAGGAAGCATGAGCCTCACCCCCTCAAACGCCCTCTTAACGACATCAACGGAAGCAGCCACAACAAGGGCCTCACATTTCCGAACGTTGCAGCGCATACCAAAAGCAGCACAGAACTCAATAAGCAGCTTAAGCGAGAACTGGAGGCGTGCCAACGAGGTCGCGAACAAAGTAAGGTCGTCTGCATAGAACAACAGAGGCAACCGACGATCATTAATGACAGGACATTCGTGTGCACGTGTGTTGAACCATTCGTCCATACCATCCCTCGCTTCAAGGTAGTCGGCAATAACCTCAATGAAGAACCCGAACAAATTGGGACTCATGGGACACCCCTGCTTCACGCCCTGCAGAGAGGCAAAGATGGACCCTAGGCGACCGTTAACCTTGACCCGTTGGAGAACACGTTCATAGCTGGCTTTAAGGGCCGCCAACATGGGTCCATGCACACCCCTCTCCTCAAGACGCTGCCACAGGCTTGCCCGGGGCACTCTATGAAAGGCTTTCTCAAAATCCACCTGACACGCATACAGGGCCTGATTGCTGCCGGGCCGCTCATAACGACTTTTAAGATGACGAACAACGAACAACTGATGAACTGTACTGCGCTTTTGACGGGACCCAGCCTGAAAACGGCACCGGACACCATCTTTATCCCCGAAAGCTGCCAGCCGCCTGTCGAGAACCGTGGCATAGCATTTGGCAATGGCGCATCCCACAGCTAGACCCCTGTAGTTGTCCTTGACCCTGGGGTCGCCTTTCTTAAATAACGGACTGAGAGACGCCACGCAAAACTGGTCAGGCACATCCCCTGTATCCCAAATGTGCTGGAAAAGGTCTCGAATCGCAGGGGCAATAACATTGACAGACACCCTGTCCTCGTCACCTTCACGAGGGATTCGCTTGGCATACTTGTAGCACTCGGCCGGAACCATACCCAGACCCGGGGAACGCCCATTAGACAGGGACGACAAAGCCGCCTCAACCTCTTCAAGAGTGAACGGACCATTCATAGTGTCGGCCATAGACCGTCTAGCATGCACCGGTTCGGAATCACGCCACGCCGCCCCGACTTGGGAGCCCGCACCGAGATTGATACAGTTGAGAATGGCACAGACACGGGCCTCCTGCACCTCATCGAAGGAGGCTGAGGCATTATAAAGGCGATCGAAGTAGTCCGTCCACTCCGACACGTCTTCCACATTGCTCACACATTTTGCTGGACTGTCCGGTTTACGACGGAATCAGATCTGACATGGGCTTTCCACGCTTCGAACATATGAAGGACGCTATGAAGTGGGAACCTGGACGCCTGGCAAGAATGCTGGAACGTATATGGTCTCACCGCAACTCTATCGTTCCCTTTGGTCGTTAGTATACTTCATTACTTGTTTCGTTGGAAGTGCGAGGTAGGATGGTGCTTATAGGCGATTTGGCAGCCCTTGAGCCCTCGGCTCGTACTAGGGTGGTTTGCAGGTACGGGGAACGCACCCACGACCATGTAACAACAACAACAACAACAACATTGCATCTGGACGCTGACTTACCGTTCAGACGTTGCCATAGGGTCTTCGCATCCCGTTTGCATGTAGCTATGAATAACTCCAAGGCTCGCAGCCGGTGATCCCGTCGCGCGTTACGCTTAGCACGATTAAACTGACGACGTAACTCTTGAAAACTCGTATGCCCCATAGCCGGGGCAGCACACCCCCACTTCATCACATCAGACCGATACTGCAACATGGCCTGCTTAGCCGCAGCACACTCATCATTCCACCACGCCGCCTTGCCGTTAGAAACCGGCCCGGGCCTGAAGGCATCACCGAAGCAACCCAGCAAAATCCGTTCGATAGTGTCCACCGCCTGGGTGACACCAATCTGGCCAGCACGCAGGGAATCCACAACCGCCCGGACACCAACCACAGGGGGGGCCTCCGGGTTGTAGAACATGTCTGTGTACCTGTGCGCCTCAGAGACAAGAAACGTCGGCTTGGGTTTACGCGTGGGTGGCCGGTCCGGCCTCCAAACCGACGCGAGGTGAAGGGACACGGGGTTATGATCACTCAAGCGGCGTTCTTCACGGTAAAAAGATTGCTGTGGCAGGACACGGAAGGAACGCACGCACGGGTACAAAGAAGGGGACG